ACTCACTGCGTACGCAGAGGAGAGGCAGAAGGATATGGTGAGACGTGCCCAGGCTTGTTAGCACTGCCGTGTTAATTGGAAAGCCAGCAGATATGCCTGCAGGTATACATGGCACAGCCAGGCAAATGGGGGACAGGACGGATTCGTAGCCACTCAAGAGCGTTCTTGGGGTAAAAGCGCAGAAGTAAGCTCTGCCATGCATAAAGGAAAGCCTGTGAGTGTTCAACAGGGGAAGGGAATGAGACGAGTGAGAATGTTCAGGAACTAATGGGAGCATCTGAGCAAATTTTGGACTGCTACAATCCGCACTACGTAAATAGCTACACAGTTGTAAGTGTTCACAGTAACTCACTGAACTGTAGCTCTCATTTCCTTCTAACAACACAAGAATTAGATTTGGGCCTGAACAGTGGCTTGAGGGCAGGCACTTAAATTAACAAAAAGCTCAGGAGGTTAATTTAGTTCCAAATCCAGGCTCAGCTCGCCTTCCAAGATGATATTTGATTCACATGAATGAAAGAGAAAGCTTAAGTGCAGAGCACGCAAGGTAAAATATGGCAAGCCTACATCCCTCTTCCAGATTATGAAGCACGCCTTGCAGAGCAAACTCATCTCAAAATTCATCTCAGCATTTCTCCAAAGTGCAAACTCCACATTTCTGGGACCCTTCAGCACCAGCACCGTGGAACTCGTGGTGCACATCTAGATACACACACATTTCACCCACACTTTCCCTATTTTGGGCCTCTCACTCACATAATCAACAGTTGTTACGTGCTCCTTCCTTTCCCATCTCTTGCCCTATCATAGCAAGCAAAGGTGTCCACTGCAAGCAGGTAACAGCAGGTTCTGCTCCTAAATCACTGAGCCTACTAGGTGTAGCAGCTCCAACAGGATGGAAATTAGATACCCCTCGGACAAGCAGCAGCAGTTCAGGACACAGCTGAGTCTCTCAGCCAAAATGGTGGTGCCTCGAGGAAAGCGTATTTTAAGAGTGCAGCAGCGAGGAAAAAGTGGGAGAAAAAGCCCTGTGGACACCCAGGTCAGTGCAGAAGGAGGGGAACAAGGTCCTCCAGGCACCAGAGCAGAGATTACCCTGCAGCCCACAGAGAAGACCACGGTGAAGCAGGTTGTCCCCCTGCAGCCCATGGAGGTCCACGCCAGAGCAGATCTCCACACTGCAGCCCACGGAGGACCTCACACTGGAGCACAGGACGACACACAGCAAGCTCACTACTACTATGAACTCCAAGAGAGCAGACTTTGGCCTCTTCATGGACCTGCTTGGTAGAGTACCATGGGATACAGCCCTGGAGGGAAGAGGGGCCCAAGAAAGCTGGTTAATATTCAAGGATCACCTCCTCCAAGCTCAGGAGCAACGTATCCCAGTAAAGAGGAAGTCAGGCAAAAACGCCAGGAGGCCTGCGTGGGTGAACAAGGAGCTCCTGGACAAACTCAAAGACAAAAAGGAAGCCTACAGAGGGTGAAAGCAAGGCCAGGTAGCCTGGGAAGAATACAGAGAAATTGTCCGAGCAGCCAGGGATCAGGTTAGGAAAGCCAAAGCCCTCATAGAATAAAGTCTGGCCAGGGACATCAAGGGCAACAAAAAAAGCTTCTATAGGTACATCGGTGATAAAAGGAAGACTAGGGAAAACGTGGGCCCTCTCCAGAAGGAAACAGGAGACCTGGTTACCCAGGACATGGAGAAGGCTGAGGTACTCAGCGACTTTTTTGTCTCAGTCTTCACCAGCAAGTGCTCCAGCCACACCGCCCAAGTTGCAGAAAGCAAAGGCAGGGACTGGGAGAATGAAGAACTGCCCACTGTAGGAGAAGATCAGGGCATGTAGTGATAGGACAAGGGGTAATGGTTTTAAATGGAAAGAGGGTAGATTTAGATTAGATGTAAGGAAGTTTTCTTCACTGTGAGGGTGGTGAGGCGCTGGAATAGGTTGCCCAGAGAGGCTGTGGATGCCCCATCCCTGGCAGTGTTCAAGGCCAGGTTGGATGGGGCTTGGAGCAACCTGGTCTAGTGGAAGGTGTCCCTGCCCGTGGCAGGGGGATCAGAACTAGATGGTCTTTAAGATCCCTTCCAACCCAAACCATTCTGTGATTCTGTAAAGTTATAAAATGCTACACGTAAAGTCCTCTGTTCTTTTTCAGTGTACCTCCTTGCTAAACTAAGCTGGAATAGGTATTTCACACATCTAAGCTCAGTTATTAATCCCTTCAAATGCCCTGTCTAAAGACTAAAACCAGCTTTAGAAACAAATGACTCCCTACACGTCACCCATATCCCATCACCCTGCATAAAGCAATACCTGTGATGTTCCTACCATAAAAATCATCCCCTACCCTATTTCAGGTAGCACCAACCAAATAATGTCCCTATAATACACACTTATCACAAATTTCAGGAGGTCTATTCAGATAAATCATGCATGTTGACAAGTATTTTACTTTATTTATGCAGTGATTTGATTTTCTAGTGTTTCTTGCTTTCTTCCCTTTCATTATCTTCTGTCTTTGATCTCCTCCATCTCTTAGATTATTCTAGCAGATCAGGTCGCCAAAGAAAGTGAAAATTCCTCAGTGCAAGACAGTTAAGATCCTCCTTTTTACCCCTCTAAACAACCCTTGCTTTGTTTGTTTTCCAGGCATCAATTTGCTATTATAAAAGACCATGAAAAGGCCTTTCAAGGTAGTATATCCACTATTAAATAGCAGAGGTTATTTATATGAAAGGCAAAAAAAAATTAAAGCAATTTTCCTTCTTAATCTCCCAGCCCACATACTACATGAAATGTAACACTTCATAGCGTAGGGGAAAAATCATGGTTTAATTACAACAATGTAGCATAAACACTTTAGTAGTCGATACCAGGATATTATTGTGATGTCTAAACTAAACTTGAGTTCTCCACAGATACCGTAAACAGACACTCTAAAATCCCTAAATGATTTGCATTAAGAAGGTTTATACAAAGGTGGTCAGTTGTTCAATCTTTAAGATGTAACGACATGGCGAGACAAACACACATACATCAGTAAGTACAGAGAAATGTTATGCTACATTTTGGACAGTTCAGAACTGAAAGTGCTTCACATCTATAGGATAAGAAATGGCTTCATCTCCTCATCCCTAAATGATGAGAGCAAAGAAATAACCTTTTAATAGGTTAAATAAACAGTGCCCCATTTATCCATGCTTATATAAAGTTTCCAACAATTCAGAAGGTCCATGGTGAAATTTACAATCTATGTACAGTATAACAAATTGTCAAAGAAAAAAGTTGAGATACTCCTAGGTTCCCAAAAGCCTGAAGCTCGCTCTCTGCACTAGAGACAAAGGCTACCTACAATATTAGGTGGGGGTTTTGTCCATTTTATTTTCTTTTTTCCCCTCTTTTTTTTGTAAAAATTAGTCATCCCAATCCACCTTGAATAAAATCAGTCCCTAAGTCCTGGCCATATTTAACAACTGCTTAATCCCAGTGTTTAAGGCATGTTCATTAGATGTCAGTATAGGGGTACTGTCAGAAATGATAATAATCACAGGTATGAAGAGTCAGCAAATTTACACAGCAATGTTACTCTTTACAATATAATGTAAAACAAATTGTTATGATGGAAGTTGTTCCTGAGTTAAAATTTGCTAAATACTGCTAAGGTTAATGATTTCCTTTTATACGTCTTCCTCTGGAATGTCCTTTCACGTATGCTCAATTGAAAAATTAAAATTCACTCTGAAAATAGCCGGAATGTCAGAAGGTAAAAATGTTAGCAAAATTCTAATTATATTGGCATTCCCAAATCTAAATTTAGCCAAGATACTATGAATTTGCAGGGTTCAGTATCACTTAGCTTTTAGCAAGAGTACTTTCTAAATAAGAAGATAAATATAAATGTCAGTCCACATTTTCGTGCAACTGCAAACAACAGGAAAATATTTTGGTATCAAGAATTATCATAAATTTAAAGTTCTGTGCATAAAAGTAACTCTGATACGGTAGACATTTTTAGTTTTCTTATCCAGTCTCCTCCTTTAGAATAAAGGAAGACATTTTTACATTGTAGGAACACAAATTAAAATACCTACAAATATATTCAAGCTTCTTACATCAGACAACTAATTGTCTATTCAGATTCTAAAGTATCCATTCCCACAGAATTATTTCTCAAGTATGTAATCATTGACTTTTCTTTCCTATTTAAAAAAAGCTGTTCTTGGCTGAGAAAAATGGATAGCTTTAAAAACACATTTCTTCATTAGATTCAAAGTGTGCATGACAATTCTTACCACCCTAATCATCCTGGCTCCAACTCATTAAAGTTCATATAAACATTTGCTCAAGTGTGAGCATGAAACTGAACCGGAGTTAAAGGGCACTAGGAAATCAGGATGACAAAAGGTGCGACTCGGGTCTGCGCTATACCTGCACTTCTGACTGTCAACTGAAGACAAACCCCTCAGAAAATTGCACCGTCTGGAGTTTAATCCAAAGTTTGCCAGAATCAATGAAACACTTATAACGAACTTTAATGGGATTAGTATTTTAAGTGCTCCACCTGAAGCTCACCGTTTGCAGTGACGCAGCATCTCCTATTTTAAATACGAGAAAAGATTGCAGTAATTGCACCTATCAGACTAGGGAATAAATGTTCATTTATGTATTTTTAAATCTGTCAGCAGTGCAAATTATGAATTACAGTATGATTTTAAAAAAAGTATCTTATTTCCAGATTTGTTTCCACTTAAATCCTAGTAGGACAGAAACCAGCAACACGCTGAGTACACAGGGTGGGAAAGGAATGACTGCTACCACAGTCTGGGAATTCCAAACAGAGAGTCTTACATAGTGGTATAAAAACAAAGCTCTGAATGAAGTTTGGCCTAGCCCATGTGTCTTACGCACAAAGGTTAGCTAAAATTTAATTGTTATGACCATAAAATATAAATAGCAACAATTTATTCACAAAATTCTGGATTAGATTGATTTTTTTGCTTTAACAAACTTCATGATCTATTAAATTATCAGCCAGCTGTATGTTTAAGCACAACAATAGAAAATGTAGTACATAAACACCTAAAAATCACAGTCATAAAAAGCAGGCAAGTACATCAGTCTTTTGGTGGCCAAAGCACAACAGATTAGTCTGCCAAACAAGTGTACATGAACGTAAATCACGGGCATTAGTTTTGTTAAAAATTGTTTCTACTGTCAATAAACGATCTTCTGTATTTTAATACTGTTCTTAAAGAATTGTAAACTGTTTAAAAATGTATGCACAGACATAAATAACAGTGAAGGATTTAAATACAGTGGTCAATAGGAAAATTAGGTTTTCAAATTTGCATGTGTGATGAGTAGGTAATTTGGAACAAATCCATAATTATCCACAAAGAACTCTGACCTTTCTTAGGTAAGACAGTACTGCCGTCATTTCTAACACTTGTGACCATTATAATAACAAGAGAAAAAAACCAACATATCAGCCCTGATACATCAATCACATATGCATTCAAAATTACAGATATTTACAAGAAAAATATATATTTAATTAAAAAGCCACTGAAAAACATGGACTTTTAGTCAGGTGCTGCACTTTCTGCAAAATGAGGTAATTTAGATGCAAACAAATTAAGTTTAGTAGAGTTCAGGATCCACTGTCTCCACACTTAAAGTACAGATTGCTTCAGTAAAGGGCTTGACTGATTCTGTATGTTCAGAGCAAGAAATCACTAGATCCAGTTAAATCCTGTTTTGTAGTGCTCTTGATGCAACACTGACTAATGTCAGAAGGCTTCCCAGCTCAGTTTTACAACTGGTCTTTCAACAGAAAGAAAAAGGGAAAAAAAAAAAAAAAAAAAAAAAAAAATTAGTTATAAGTTGGTTTCATCCCAAGATGGGTCATTCATGTTCTTTAGAACTTTTCTAACAAGCTTCTCCAAGTCCTTGCGAGCTCTTTGTTCTTCTTCTAATGATTTCTTCATCTTTTTATTATCCTGTTTAATAGAGACAGAAATATTAGGTTTTTTTTTAAACAGGTCTTTTCTGACCACACATACATTGTCAATTAGAAATTCTGAAGGCTCTTCTCAGTAAGACTATTAGCTGTTCAAAAGCAAAGCCTTCTATTAAAATTTCACAAGTTACACACAGTTACTTCACACAATGCAACAAAAACCACCAAATGGAAACTGAGCTATTTCCCATTTATACTTAGGGGGCCTTTATAATGCAAGTGCTAGCAACAGATGGCCAATAATCTTGAATTCTTCTGCTCAAATCTGATCAATGAGGAATAGAATAGATTTGTTGTTAATGGAGAAGGGAAATGGAGCAATAAGTAGAGTAAATATCCCCTCTAAGAGCCTCCTGTGATTATAACTAGTTTCACAATCTCAGAAAAGCTTCTTAAAACTTAATGCAAATTAACTTGCTTCATTAGGAAAGTAGATAGTTGAAAGGAGTATTTTGAAAACCATTATGTTCTCTGGAAGGTGTTTTGTGACTAAATTTTAAACCAGACAGATGACTACCAACAGTCTAAGAGGAGTCTGAATTTGAAGGAAGACCACCACTCTGCATGTGTATTAACGAGTGAGTCAGTTCTCAATATTTAGCGCCATCAGACAGTACTGAAATATCACGAACAAAAGGACCGTAAGGATGTCACTGACCAAACCACGGTAACGCTTACACTGTTCAATCCTGTACAGGCCAAGGTGATGCTGGCAACAGCAGAGAAGCAACCAGAAGATAAGACAACATTATATTAAGGCCCCAAGACAGCCAGTCTACAGGCGTGTAACAAACACGGGTCTGCAATCCAGGGGTCCCAGCTGTCATCTACAGACCTTTCTAGAAACAGGATGGGATCAACAGCTGCTGCCTCATTAACTCCATTCCCTCCTCAAGTCTGATGGGAAACTCAGAAATCTCATTCTTTTCTTGTAGGTACAGACTTAATTGCTTCTCATTTCTTTATTAATTTACTGCCAGTTCAGGACTGTACTATTCAAACGTAGTGCCTGTGGAGCAACAGCTATGAATAACCTATGGAAGTCGCTACGGGAGGGATCCCACCTGGCGTGGTAGTTCCCACCAGAAGGCAGTCCGGTGCCTACACCCACCGGCGCACTAGGTGCTCCCAGAGAGCCTTTATCCATAAAGCCCTCGGTCACTCGGGACCTTCCCGGCTCAGAGATCATTTCTGCCACGTCAGTTGGCAACGTCACAGCAGCAGACCAAGAAATGCTTCTAAGCTGAGATTCCTGATATACAAGAAAATGAACTCAGGCTTTCACAGGTCTTGGCCCTGGAAGATGCGAGATTCTGAAGAGACCATCTGTTTGGCAAGGCACCAGAAAAGAGTGCTGTTGCTTGGAAGTTCAGGAGACTGACTTTTTGTTTAGGGTCACACAGAGATCTGTGGGGCCTCAGTATGGCAGCACGTTTATCCTTTGTACAAAAGCAGCCAGGCCACAGGAATATTAGTGGGTTATTGTTGCTGCTTGTATTACGTGAATTGTATTTTTCAAAAGGCTGTCAAATTTGCATCAAACCTGGGATACATATGCTTCAGGTATCTGAAAACAGCAGAATTTAAGTATTTAACACATCAGCTGTCCTATTTCAAGGAACATGCACGACATCCTTAGAAATACTGGGCACACTTACAGATGGGCAAAGAATTCGGATTCATGTTTATAGCCCAAAGCCTAAAGTAAATTGAATACAAATCCATTTTACATTAACACAGGAGATTTATTCCAACTTCTTGAGTCAGAACTGTTAAGGTCAGTTAGCAAATTCACACGTTGGAGAGTGAGGATAATTCAATGCTTTTTTGCCTACACACTGAGCAATGACTACGTGCTGCATCATTAACATGTTTAAACAGGCTGTGTCCTGGCAAGAAAAAGCCGTTTTTAAACACCTCATTTTGGATACTTAAAACATCAGCTGCAACTTCCATACCGGCAGCTCAGGTGAGATCTTGCACAGTTCCCCCACGTGACAAAGCAGCACCCGAAGCTAACGTGAAGCCCTCGTTAAAAAAAGGCCACATGATAGACACCGAAAAGGACTCTCATCTCTGGAAACAAGAGGTTTTAAGAACTGATTCCTAAAAGGTGTTCAAGTTACTGAAAGACCATTAATAAAGGCCTAAACAGATCCAGACATTTAACTACTAATTATATGTTCTAGAGCAAATACTTTTTCACAGTCTCTATAAGCTTATTTTGCTGATGATACAGCAAAACCTCATTTGCTTAACACTTTCAACATTTCACAGGTTGTAACATCCAAAAATAAATGAAACACAGCTTAGTAAGCCACCTCAGAGAGAGGATACTTAACACTATTATCAAAGGTTGGTGCTCCAAGAGCTGATGACAACCACCAGAGAAGGTGCTTTTTGTCAAATCGGTATGTTTTACTTTTAAAAGTGGATCTAGTCCAAAATTCACGTTCATTCCTGTCAAAGTGAATCAACTTACAAGCCGTATTTATTTTTATAATAAGCCTTCCGTCTTTCCATTTCCATGTCGCTACAAATGTAGCAAGTTACCAACCTGTCTTAACTCCTGTACTTCATCCTTTAATGCATATACTGTGTCAACAAGGCTTCTAAAATGAAAAAAAAAAAAAAGATGATCTGTTACAACAGTTTTCAGAAATACATGCCTAAATCTATTGTTAGACAAAACTGTTAAATGAAATGCATTTAAAAAAAACCAAACCCACAGCTAACAGCTAATTTCGAACTGTATTGAAAACATTTTCTCTTATCCCGATTTATATTCAGTAAGGCAAGGACCTGTTACCAGCTTCTGTAACAGGATACACCTCTTAAGCACATATGGACCTATACTGGTTTCTGTATTACAGCTTTCTGTAACAGAACTGTATTTCATTTCCAACATACACCTTACCAAAAAAATAGAATGATACCACACACTAACTAGAAAGATTACACCAATTTAATACTGAAATGCTACAGTACTCGAAAAAATTACTGAAAAGTGAAACATATCACTTCTTGGCCTGGAAGGAAGAAGTTGCATGGCATATACAAAGAAACGAGACTACAAGCATTTAAATGAAGGCCAACTGCACTTAAAGGACTGGCAGCATACTCCAAACAGCTCTGTTCCCTACTACAAATATACCACAGACACACTACTATAATGGGAGATGGGAGGATGAGGAAGAGTGCAAAGTTTACTGGTTTAATCCATCATTCATTAAATGTTCTCTTACTTCTCTTCTATAACAGTCTGACCATTACTTTTAGTTTCTTCTACAATAATCTTTTCTTCTTCTGGAAGCAGGACTTGAGGAGCTGATTCTTTACGGGAACCTGTTGTAAAAATAAATTACAAAATGAGCAACTCAAAAATATTGCTGGGGCATTTTAAAGATTATTATTTCATTCATTGCATGACACACCTGCATGACCAAGGTATATCAGTTTCCATTTCCCCCTTCCCTCCACACACACAAGTTACTGACACATTTTTAACATTCAAAACCACAGCCTTACAACAACAAAAAAATTGTCTGACATTCCTATCCTGCTGCTGACATAACTCCTGTGTCATCGACGGGGATGCCACACCGTTCGTTGAACGGTGCACCATTCAACTATCTCAGTAAAAGCTGACAAATTCACCATAGCTGACTCGGAAAGAGATAGATGTGTTTAAGTAACAGTGATTTAAGCCTCAAGGACAGATTCTGATCTCACACCGATATAAATTCAAGAAATAATTCCACTCTAAACCAATTACTGTATCGGTAAGGAGCAGAATAATAGTATCAAATAATACAGCAATGGAAGAAAAAAAGTTAAAATCCCTTTCCCCTGAAACACTATAAACAACACAATGGGGGGTGTGTGTGTGTGTACATGTATACACACACATACATTTACAGATAGCCTTTTAGTCCTAGAATAAATTCCTACCAAATGAAATACATACTTTGTATTTAATAAATGTTTTTAAAAGCACTTAATGGTTTGACAAACTCAAAACATTCCAACATCTTCAAAACGTCTTCTACAATCATTACAATTTATTATAATCGGTAATACATATAGATTCTAAAAAAGTAGCTCTGAATAGAAAAATCTGCACCTCAGAGGTATGTATCCATTCATACATACATGAAGTATGTATTCTAGAAACATTATTTCATTAGGCTGCAACAAATTACAGGCATTTTTTTTAAAACAAGGTCTGCAAATAAATTGCTGTCTAAGCATTTGTTCAGAATTCAAACACAGCAGATAAGGCATTAAAGTTCTTGCATATTTTAACGAAGATATCAGTTTTAACAAAGAAGGTAGACTTGCCTACCAATTCATTGTAATGAACTTTCATTCACAAGGAATGTTTTAAGTCTAGTACAGTTTGAACTGATGACTAGGTACTACAGGGTGCATGCCTGTCAGGAGAAATTAGTTAGCTCTTGCTGAACAGCTGCTTTGTGATAACGGTGCTTTTCTTTTATGGTTCGTGATAAAATACATAATCTGAACACAGAAAATAAATGAAAGAAATCAAGCTCATAGAAAAATACTAAGTTCCCTAACACCACACCTGCACTCTTGAGTTCTGAACAATGAGTTTGTAGGGACCGTAGTTCAGCAGTACGTGTTAAGCTATTTAAACTGTTTTAGCAAAGAATAACAAGAGTCGCTTTAATGAAGAAAACAGTTTCCTAAGCTGACAGTAAAGATCTAATGTATCAGTACATGATGGTTAAAATTTTATGGAATAAAGATAACTGCAGATTTGAGAACAGAATCTCGTCCTTGAAAGCTGCAAGTTCTTCAGCTAACAGAGTGAAGAAATCTTTTATGGGTTAATGCCCTTCCACTTATTTTCCAGGGAAGGAATAACCCATAAAACAAGCACATCCAAACTCTGTATGGAATCAAGGACATTTCCCAGTTTGCGCTGTCAGTCTCTAATTGCAAAAAGTTGTCTTATGTTTATTTCAGTTAATTGCTTACTGCTCTGCTTTATTAGCCCAGGAGGTAGCAGAGAACACCGAGCTAAATGTTATTTTAGGAATTAGCTGGCAGCAGCTGCTACCAGATCACTACATTTTGGGTCTCTGTACCCATGTGGAGCACCTCAGCCCAGCACACGTCGAGGGAGACACTGGCCAAAGGGAGAGAACTGCCACGCGTTTCTCACCCGTGACTCCCTTCGACCAGATGGAGCAGCGCGTTGTATTTATCTCTGTACAGAGCTGCATCCAATTGTCTTTGCCTGGTCAGAGTAACACGGGTCCTTGCAAAGCAGAAACAGCGTGGAGTAGACAGCTTTAAAAAAAAAAAGTCCCAGCAGTACAGTTATATACACACATGCATGTAAAAGATGTCTACACCAGCATATCCTGATGTATGTACAGCATAGCACAGTAAACACTTAATACTACTGAGACACAGAATGCAGTTTCATTAAAAACAAAATGTTCACCAACATTATACGCACAAGGAGACCACACAGTACGCATACACACTTACACGATGCAAAACTGTTGCTGTGAACACTGACCTTCCTGTGCCACAAAACATTAACTACTGTGGAATTCAGGACATCACAAGTTTCACTCTCGCCTTCATTGCTCCAATACCGTCGGTCATGCAACTTTTAAATTCGTATCTCAGAACCCTTGCTGCTCTTACAATTTGTACTTATGCAAAAAAAAAAAGCCCAACACTTTCTTCTTCACCTTGGTTTGCTTTTTGTGAGTTTTGGCAGGGTTTCTTGTTTGTTTTGGATTTTTTCCTAAACCCCACGAGCACTTGCTAAGTATCAAAGGTACAAACACACAGCACATCTATCTGCAACAGAGGACCCTGTCATCAAATGAGTACGTGCACAGTAACATCAGACTTGACGTGTGAAGTTCTAAAGGTAAAACGAAGCTACTTCACCATCTTGCTTTTCTGCACCATTTATGCCAGAAGCTTTTCTTTTTAAGACGCATTTTCTGGCAATTACACATCTAGAAGGAACTTCAAGCATAGTCGCCTCACTACTGGCACTCAGCAGTGTTCCCTAAACTGCACCTTGTGCCTCCACCAGGTTCTTTATGTCTATTCTCTATGTGACCATTTCTCTCTGGAAAAGTTTACAGCTACAGCTTTAGGACATGAAGAGAGGGCTGCATTATAGCACAGTGCGTAGTTCACACAAAGTTGTACTAAAAGGGCAGTCTAAGAAGTTCCTGCAACTTAGATAATCCTAAGCACTTCTTTGCGACATATTCCATGTTTTCATGAAGTAGTGCAGAAGAATAAAAAATCACTTCAGTTTGCCATTTCTGCCATTCATCAATCCTAAGCATCCAAGTTTCATGCTGAATTTTATTATGAGACACTACTCACTCTCATTCCAAGTCAATGGGCCAAAAGACAATGTTTAAATTGACCTAAAATAACTCTGGCCCTAAATCACCTTGAGACAATGCAACCAAAAGTACCAGTTTAAAAAAGATGGAACACTACCCCCAAAGCTTTACAAAACAGGGTTTTCCTTTCCTTTTTTTGAGGGTGTGGGGGGAAGCAAGGTGGATGGGAGAAGAATAGATGTTTGGCAAACCCAGGCAATTACTACAAGATTAGCAAACAAATAGTAAGGCTGAGTAAGATGCCATTAACTTTTCAAAGGGGAACTAAATCCAGGGTCTTGGAAGAATGACCCCACTGTTTAGAAGTCTGTTGCATATTTAAGACAAAACAACTGGCCACTATGATCAAGATTCAACTAAGTTCCCATCAATTAAATTCCAGCAAGAAAATGAAGGTATCTATTCAGTATCAATACCTCCCAGCCCTAGAGTGGAGAATAAAGAATTACAATGCTTTTTCCCAATACCATACCCTAAATTACAGGTTTAGCAAATTTAGCCTCCAGAGTAAAGCAAATAAACACAGCCTACATGGCATTCAGACCAGGGGTAGAGACCTTAGCAATACCCCCTATGTAATGTGGTGCAACACCCGAGATAAAGAACAAGCCTGTGGCTAACAGCCCCGTGCTTTTAGTTTTCAGTGTCTGATCCCCTTTCCAGCCTAATAATCAGCCAAACCAGCAAGCAGTTCTGAGCATTTCTGGAAAAAAAGGAAAGCTGAAAGCTGTTTGGATATTTATGTGGCTGAAAGACTGTGACAGAAGTTCACTTTATACCTGTCTGAAACCAGCCCTGGAGTACAGTCTTAACACCAAAACGGGAAGAAACTAGAGCCCAGACTGAATGCCACAGAGGTTCTCGGTGATGTCTGTTTGCAAGCATAACCGCACAACCCCAGCCTTCTATTCACTCTCCTCCAAAGGGAGCCTGACATCTTAAAAACCAGTTGATATGGTACCATGCTGGTTCCTGACAGAAACCAGGCTTCAGAAGGAGCTGTACTGGTAATCAGTCTGGTCCTTCGTTCTGCATCATTTAGCAGACACGTGTGAAGAGAGTCCAGAAGTTCTGCACGGATCTTAACACATCAGGCAGAAGGGAAGGAAGAGAAGAAGGGGGATGAAATTCAGATACCTTTTCACTTTAACCAGGTATTAAGTCTCCGCCTACGTTCAAAGGCCTCGTCTGGCCAGGAACCATTTAAGGTAACAGTAAACCAGAGGTGGGTACGCACATCACCTCCTTAAAGCAGCTAACCTCAGGGCCTCAGTTAAAAGCCAGCTCCCCCCAGCCCATCAGGACCAGGGCTCCTTCCTCCAGCTGGCCACGTGGAGGAGGAGGCTCAACCTAGGTACTTCTACTCTACCAAGAGTTTGCCTTCTTCCAGCGACTACGAGGGTCCTAATTTAAGCTATGCAAGTTAGACATGTGGCGATGGCGGTTAATTTTAAGAAGTGCATGGCATAATTTGAGGCTATCGGCAATGATTCTGTTGCACAGCTTTTAAGTATTGCTGTTTTCTTCACTTTTTCATACCTTTATTGTGATTAGGAGAGGTAAGGAGGGGAACAAGGCACAATAAAGGTAAAAAATTAGAAACAGTACTTGCAAATATACAGTTCTGGTTTTCAGCAACTTTACTAGGCTCTCTTCATAAGCTAAGAAGCTCTTTGAAATTATTTGTTTGAACTTCAAAGACAGAAGTCTGACTTGCCACTGAAAAACAAATATGTGCATACACAACTGTTTAGATCTACCATTAGCCACCAGTATGTACAGACGTGTGTATTTCCTAGAGAAGCAAAGAGTAGACAAAAAGTAAGAATTACTTGTTGTTTAAAACATCCAGTGTTTCATTGTGTTAGTTATATAAAAGATACTAAAATGGATAAGCAGACCTGCCAAATTAACCTTCTCTTTCTCAATGAA